TAAATATTATTCCATTACCTTATTCAGAAATAGTTCCATGATTATGCGGTTAATTACAACTCAACAGAAGGCTAAGTTTAATAGAATTTCCAAAATGCCATCCTTCCTCATTTTGAAAACAACAAAACTTCTAAATTAATTAAATCCTGCACGACCCAAAATGTTTTCAGAGTGCAAAAGTCACTCTACCTCTTAACTTCAACAAAACTTTCCCAAAGATAATCATCTTACATCCATTTCACATGTCTTAGCGACTATTTTATGTCCAATGGTAAGATTAAAACTTCAGAACTTTCAAGAAAACTATATTTTGCAATGTTTGCAAGTTTTATGACGTCTCTTGCTTTTTTTCTCGATTGCTTATTTTGCGAGAAAGAACTTTTAATTTGGTTTTGAAACAACTTTTCAAACTGTAACAAATTTATTATGTAATTCTCGAATCCGATTCGATCAATAAGTTCTGAGAAAAACGATTTCTTAATTGGGTTGGAATAAAGTAAGAGAATTGAGTAATTGTTTTTGAAAGGGATAAGAAAATTATAAAAAAGTTCTTTATTAGATGGATAATGAAATTTTTTTAGAAAATAAATATATATTGCTAAGGATAATTTTTGTGTTTAGGAACCTCAACATCAATGTATGAAATTCAAATCTATATTTAACATATAGTTATAACTAACCAAAGCAAAAGTCTATATTTTCACCAAAAAAATCGCATGGCTAATTTTATGCTTTCTCAAAGTTTGCCAAATTTTTTAAATTAAATATGTGTATGTGCGTTTATGAGCCTTTTTTGATTAAAATGTGGTTCATTATTAGCAAAATTTTGAACACAATTCGAAATGCAGGTATATTTATTATTTTCATTTACGGTGCAGAATTCTTCAAGGCAAAATGCCTCTTGAACCTAGTTTTATTATACTTCTGTAGTACAAGATCCAGGGATGTATATAAAGACTATTATGACACGGAATATATACTATTATTACACTATTTTATATTATGAGATAATTATATCACTCAACAACATACAAACTGCATACTTCCATATAGACTGAGAGCCAGCGACATATGAAAAAAAAAAATTTTAAATCCATAATACAATGAAAGTATAATTTCATAAGGACAATTTTGCACTTTCATGAATGTTGATTACTATCTTTCATTTTATTTAAAAAAATATATATTTTATGGCTACTTAATTTTTAACTTCCCGTAGAAAGTTATAGTAATCGCAAAAAAATCGAAAATAAATTTTTTTGCATATTTTAACGTTTCAAAGGTTTCTGAAAATTTTGGCATACCTCAGAAAAAATGTATGTATGTGTGTGTGTATATATGTTTGAATACAATTTTTCATCCACGATTTCGGGCGCATAGATCAACCGATTGGAATGATTCAAAAATCATTCGATTGCTGCTGATGGAGAGACGTGCTAATTAGTTTTTAGCAAGGACAGGTCCAGCCGTTTCGAAGATACGGGGCAAAAAGTGCCAAAATTAGTAATTTAATTTTGGAGGTAACGGAGCGCCTGATTTGAATGATTCAAATAACATTTTATTTTTATTAACGAAATGAAGAATTTTTGTATTTTTGCGTAGGCAGGTCTAGCGGTTTAGGAGATACAGAGTAAATTGTAAAAGATAAATGATATTTGCCGATTTAAAATGATGATTAGTCATATGGACATTAAATTATCAAAGATATTAATAATAACAAATTTTGTTACAATTTTTTCGGTTCCGTACCAAGATTTTTAAATTTTAAAGTTCACTTTTACGGTTCAAACAAATTTCAAAATCTTCAGAAAAATTTATTTTTTCAAAATTTTCAAAAATATACAAAGTTTTATACTTCGAATATAAATTTTAAATTTTAAATTAGGCTTAAAACTGTATATATTTCATATGCGTTATTCTACTCGTAAGAAATATATCCTCATTTGTATTCATTCGGCATTTCTTCTTAATGTAAATATTTTCAAGTATTTTGAGTGATAAGATCGTCTCTGTATATTATATGAATGAACAAATATATAGTGATCATAATTATCTTTTTGAAAATATTTAAAACCATTATTATTAATAATTGATCAACATTTATTGATTATTATTGATTTTTGCTCGAATATTTAATTGTGGTACGGAAACCACTAGTTTAAAATCTTAAAAATAAAATACAGAAATTGTTAAAATCTATTAACTAAAATCAATTTTATGAAAGGGCAATCTAACAATGACTACTGTAAGCGATTGAGATAATTTTTAGACCACAAATAAACTGATTTATAAGCTTCTATATCTTCTATATCTATAGATTAAAAATCTCAATTTAATTCGATAAATGTTATAGATATTTCCTTATGCGGATGCGGATGCGAATTTTTTTCGTCGCTGGCTGCCCGTCTAACTCTTTTTAAAATTTAATAACGAGTTTCTGCTCGTTGTATTATCATCATTATACGCGTTTTTGCTATTAACATAATCGCATCTTTGCATTACTTTAATGTGGTTACAGTAATATGTTTTATAAAGAAATATAAAAAATGCTATGATTTATTAGAAATACGTGGAATATACATGCTTTTGATATTATCTTACAATTAGTTTTCTGCTTTTGTTCGCACTAACTTTTACATAAATTAAATGAATAATGTTGAGATAAACTAGTGGTGTATGGTATCGTAAGGAAAATTGCTGGAACTCCGTACCAAAAATTATTTTTTTTTAAAAAGAATTCAACTTTCTTTTAAAACTCGATTCTCGAGATTTTTAAAATTTTTGAAAAAAAATTGACCTTTTTAAAAAACATTGGTACGAAACCCATAGAAAAGTGAACAAAATTTGTTATTATTATTAAAATATCTTTAAAATGTGATAATTTGATGTGCATATGTCATATGTCTTGTCCGCCGATGGCTTTTTTTCAATCTATCACCATGAGAAATTTCGTAAAAAACCAAGACGAGTAAACCCATGTTTCTCCTCGTGAGTCTCAATATCTCCATACACCGCCGCGTTGTTTATTAAACCATATAAATATTAATACATATTTACAATACCCAAGAAAACATGAAAAAGTCACATAAAACCAGTTCTTATATTGCAAATTAATTCAAATATTATGCAACATCTCGTATATATCGATACTTTACAAAGAACGTGACCAGAAGATCGATATTGCGAAATGTGTCGAGTAGATATCACACGGAGCAATTACTAACAGTTATATTGTCAGCGATGTCACCTAGGATGGAAAAGGTAATAAAATCTTTTAAAATAAGTTTTAATGATGGCGAATAACAGGCAGATAATTGGAATTTAATTCTACTAATTACTATATAAACGAGCTGATCACATTTACCGTTATTTAATCATGATGGATATTGTTGGAAATGTTTGTAATCGATTAGGAAGTGAATGAAACTGGTAGAGGAAAAGTGAAGTAGTAAATTTTTTAAATCTTCCAGAATGAATTGAAACTGATTGTGAGAAAATTTCTTAGTTTCGTAAGTAGGGTCGAGCCAGTCTTGGAAGTCCACCATCAATATCTCAAAACTAAGTAAAGTTAGGAATTTTGTAATAACAATATTTGAAAGTAGAAGAAAAAAAGAGTGCGCGTAAGGTTCACACGCATTTGAAGTAATTGCTACTGTGCAAGATGGAATTTAAGTAAAAATAAATATATCATATAATAATTTTGAATAATGTTTATTAGTAATATGGTAACACTCGTGATGCACACATTTATTAGTGTCAACCATTATATACATTTACATAAAGATAAATTATGAATTATATATTTATAATAGCATTAAAAATATGTATGATATTTAAAAACAATAATGTAATTAAAGTCAAACTACAAATATGACATGATCGGTTTATCATTGTAATGAGCATTTAGAAATGAACCTTCACTAGAGAAATGAAGTAATTGCTGATTAATAAATTCTATAATATTCGTTCACACAGTGAATTATGTTAAACAACGCCTAAACAAATATTGTTTTCGCAACTTCACTCATCATGTAATCGTGTTTGAAGAACTTAATGTAATTAAAATTAACATACATTCATTGACTGCTCGTATTTTTTTTATTATTTTGCTGGTGATACAATCTCATTCTTTAAACAGTTGTAATATCTGTCTTGCCTCAAAAATCATTTCCATTTTAATAACTTCAAAGATTTATAGAAACAACGAATAATATAGAAATAATTACTAATCAATAAACTTACGTTTAGTACACGACACAAATTTTTAATTTGTTTTATTATTTTCAAGGAACAGGGTAAAATATCCATCTGAATCAGGCATTTTTCATTAAATCAAGATTTGTACTACGATGTAACTTTAAAATGTTTATTTATCTATGCCGATTTCTTTGTTGATATCGGTACCCATACAACGTTGATTTCCTGTACGCATACAACGACAGATCTCTATTCACATACACGACGACTAATCACAATCGACCCGTATTGAAATGATTTCATCTAGAGCGAATGACATACAGTTCGTGCGTAACGCTATTTCCGTTGCATTTGTGCGGATTTACTAGTCGCTCCTATAAAAGTTTTACCTAAAATGTGTATAACCAGCCATCACCTTAATTCTTGCAACGCCGCTATCAGCAATGTTTTAAAATTCATGACAAAAATATTTTTTTTCGTTATTATTTTTTTTGGCACTATTGTTCAGTTTACGAGACCTTGATATAATTTTTAAGTATACGCTATTTATTTGTTCTATAAGATGCATTGTTTATTTTAAGTTAAATGCAACAGTTCTTTTATATATAACCTCTTATAAAAAGGACCAACTAAACCTTCACCCAGACATCTTTCTCATCACTTATCAGCAATAGAGAGCAATGGTAATAAAATAAAATATTGCTAATGGCAATCTGTTCGTATAATTTTATCTGCAAGTCGAGAAGAAAATCATCTTCACCATTTATCAGTTACATGTAAATAAATAGAGAAAATCAACTTACCTGGTCCGGAAACCAGAACCATAAAACTGAATGGTACCAATACGACGGCTGCCATTACGAGCAGACATCCTCGCCTTCGTAACGGGCTCAATAACCAAGACATTGCTTCGCATTACACAAAATCTGAAAATAAAAGATAAGTGAATTTAGAATTATAATAGATAAGTTCAGAGCAAATAATAATATGAATTCATATTAATTATCTATTGAAAGCAAGCTACTAATATATAATACTACAATTAAGCCGATATGGACCTACGGTTTGGAATTATGGGGATGTGCAAGAAAATCACATATTGATACAATTCAACGAGCGCAATCAAGAATTCTCAGGCAAATGTAAAGGCTCTATATGGTATGTCAGTAACAAAATTATTCATGACGACTTGAACATTACCATTCGGAAAGATGTAATTATCAGTACCAGTCATCCGCCATTTTGAGAAGTTGGAATCCCATCCCAATGAAATAGTGAAAAATCTTCTTAAAGAACCCTGTTGCTCTATGAGACACAGAATAAAGTTCAAATTGATTTAAAGACAGATCAAATTTGATAAAGGCCAGACCCAATCCATGATATATACCTGAGCTAGATTAATTGACCACTCATTGGAGTGGATACTATAACAATTTTTAAACTTCATCATTCATTTATTCATGAGTGCGTGTATGACTGTGTATGACTAGACTATGTATATCTGTGTAAGTGAGTAGAAACATAAGCACGATAGCACGTAGAATTTTGTAATAAAAATCTCATAGAATATATAAGAAACAAGCTCAATATTTCGAAAAACGTTGAACCAAAAGTTACTACAAGATGAGTTTTTTTAGCATTCTGATCAATGGGTTAACTCAAATTATAGCAATAGGTATAAAGGTCAACACATTATATATAGAAATGCTGAATTAAAAGTTCCTATGTAGAAACAGGACATAATTTATCTTTCATTCTTATAATTCAAATGATATTAGTTAATAATCCAGACACAATTACTATTTTTCAAGGTTTCTGACAGTACGTGCGGATTTTCGAAAGAAAATTAAAGATTTTTTTTTCTTCACAAACAAAATATTGACAATCACAGCAACGAACTTGCAGCCAAATTATATGATACAACTTTAGAATACATACATAACTTATTCAGTTAGCACAATAAGGTTTTTACGTTATCGTCTAGGAAAAATGCAGACCTCTAGGTTTAATACTAGATAAGATTAGTAGATTATTTTATGTTTAATTTAATATGTATAGTTTAATTTGATTGATTATTTTATAAGACTACCTGGATCAAACCTGTTTTAGTTTAACAACAATAATATTAGAACCGCCAATGGGCGGCCTGATATGCCCTTTCTATTTATATTAATCAAAAAAATTACTAGATGTCATATTTATAGACAGTTGTAATTAATAAATGAAATAAAAAAAATTCTTTGAACTAAATAATAGTATTCAATGCAGACATTATCGTTCGGTTCGATGTTAAGATAAAAGTAGAAGATTTCTTTGTAATCGGCTTCAACTGGATGACCAGAGCGTTTATTATCTTTGAGTAAAATAGTGGGGTGCATGGCATCGTGCCTTAAGACAAATTGCTGGAACTTCCCGTACCGTAATTCAGCATTCGAGGAATGAAAATAATCAATAATTGTTTTAAGTAATTTCAAATAAAGTATTTATTATAAATACATTCTGTAAACTTATAATAAGTGCTTATTAAATTGTTCTATTTTTAATTTGATTGTTTTGATAATTTAGAAGTTTTCTCAAAATATTGAATTTTTTTTTAAAGTTTGAAATTTTTTAGATCTTTTCTTAAAAAATGCCTCTTTTTAAAAAATTTGCGAATTTGGAAATTGTAAGAAATCGATTTAAAATTTTTCAAAGTTTAGTTTTTTTTTAAAAGTTATGAAAAATTTCGAAAATTTGAATATTTGTTTTTGAAAATTTTCAAAATTACAAAATTTTCTGTAAAAGCATTCTTTACACACCGTCTACTCGAGCAAAATGTTTTTTGAATTAACTTAAATGATTTTACACCCTTTGCACTTCATTCCTCCGGAACGGCTCCATACCTTTAAAACGCCCTTTTGCAAAAACGACTCGCGATCAAGTACGAACCGAAAATGTCGAGGACGAAACCCAAAAAAATTGACACTAAATGTTTAAAACACAAAATTATTAAAATCTCTACAGAATAAATATTTTTGACCGAGAAATGGCATTTTTTTAAACATTTTTTTAATTGTGAGTCTATAACGGCTGGACCTGCTTTTCCAAAAATGTAAACAGTTCATCGTTGAGTCAATACAAGTACAATGTTCTTTGAATTAATCAAATAAGATGCTCCGTTCTCTCAAAAACTAAATTACTATTTTTGGCTCTTTTTTCCCCGTATCTTCGAAACGGCTAGACCTGTCTTTGCCAAAAACTAATCAGCACGTCTTCTTATCAACACGAATCGGTTGATCCGTGTTCCCAAAATCACACACACATCAATACAAACATGCATGCATTTTTTCTAAGGTATGCCAAAATCTTTAAAACGTAGTGATATATAAAAATTTTCATTTTCGATTTTTTTTGGCGACTACTATAATTTACCCTGCGGGAACTTAATAATATAATAAACTGTAGTTTATTTTTACAAGATAATGTAAATTTACAATTATAATGTGGCGATGCTTCTAATAATTTAAATAGAAGTAGTTAGAATTTGTTCGTTTCTAGGTAATGTTTTGTCATCGAGTTATTGTGATGGGATCGTGCAAAAATGCAATAACTCCAACCTAGTTCATTAACAAATCTTACATAAAATGCAAATTAGCTATCGATTATTCTCCGTGCAGCATCGGTCGGTATGCAAGTGCATATGATGCATTATCTGTGCAATCATCATATGTTCGTGCTTTTCGCCGAGGCGTGTTATCATGTGTACAAGCAAGTCAGATATCAGATAGCGTGCAGCAAATAACGCGTAAGTTGATAATATAATATAATACATAGTAGGCACTGAATATTTCCCACAGATCGACAACATCCACAGATCCACAGATCCTGATCATGGAAACAATTGTAAGAGACATAGGAATATTGAATCGAAAGAGGCGGAGCGGACCGAGAACCAGAAGCTGATGGCCAGATGACCAGTTCAGTAAATACGAATGAATTGGTCTATATTTTTTAGTTCCAAAGAAGTCAAAAATGTCTTCACGCTTTGATCAAGAAACAATAGAAAGCCAAGGTAGAAGAGAAAAGCATTCTTCCGCCTTCTAGTCCAGTCATTTGGTGCAAAAAAAGGCTGTTGCCGGTACAGTGCTCCGGGAATTCTGAAAATTGGTAATCTTATGGATTTTGAGGTGCTCTTTACGAGAATCAACTTTGCCACCTCAAATTTGAACGGCAAGTTGCCGCTATATTGGAAAAAAGTCGTCAAACAACAGCTTTTTTAAAATATCTCCTTTCTGGCTGATTCTACGATAAAAGTATATATGTACGAATTAAACTAGATAAAATTTCCTACAATTCTTTAGAAAACCGTTTTTTTGTAAAATTGATAGTTTGAGAGCATGGCCGCCTCAAAGTCTTTGCTGCTCTCGCCGTAGTATTAAATCTCTCCATATATGACAGCACTTTGAACTTGACCACATTCTCCCTAATAAATAAATATTTTCAATGTTAAATTAAGCGAATAAGATCTAGAAATAAAATAATTCAAATATTTTTCTGTTTTTTTGCTGATTTTTTAACACTTCAATGGCAAAGTAGCTATAAGTAAGTATCTTGAACGCACAGCCTCACAATTCTATGCCATAAGTCCATATTGGTTTTATTACTATCTTGTAAATCAGAAGTTCTGAAAGATAACGAATGCTCTGATCGATCAGTTGAAGTTGATTACAAAGGAATTGTCGACTTTTACCCTTACCACCCAACCGAATGATACATTCTGATGTCTAAATTGAACAACTAACGAAATTAAAAAATGCAGTTGAAAACAAAAACGGTCTTAATTGGCAAATGGGAAAGGAGATTTATTCCATTATTGACATCACATATTTTCGGTTACACGGTAAAAATTATTGAAGCTTGATGGTTATATTTTGTCACATTCACCATATAGTTCTGACCTTTCTAGTTAATTTTATTTCTTGGGAATCACAAGCCATCACAATATAGCTTTTTAAATAAATTCACATTTTCAGAAAAAACATGCGGTCTGATAAAGGTAGACAAATCAAGTAACCAGAAACAACTTATGAGCAGATCTTATTAGGCAATACGTCAAGTTGAGAAATTTTCAAATTCTCACTAGAAGCATCTACTGAAAATTTGATTACTTTTTCATAGTTTTTTAACTTCTAAACCAAAACAAAATTTAATAAAATGTTCTTCTATTTGCGCTTGGAAGAAAACGACAAACTTTTACTTCAAACTTCTAACAAACTACAAACTTAATATATTAAAGCAACTTCTGGTAAATATGTCGTTTCTGATATGAATCCAAAAGCGAACATCATATATAGAACTTGAGAAATAATTAAAGACTAACTTGTGAAGATCATATTTTTCGTAAGATTCAACAAATCGACATAAATAATAAAAGATTCCAGAATAGTTTTTGATCTCAGCAATGCAGTAAAAAGTTAAAAGTCTAGACTTTGGACAAGAAATGATCGCCTTTGATACTTATAACTAAAAAAATCTAATTTATATAAAAAATGGTTTATTCAAAAAAAAAACACACGAAAGAAAATGAGTTACAGACTTGAATTCATATCTTCTACATTATATAATTAAAAAATTAATTAAAAAAAATAATTTAATTAATTAAATATTATTTTACAAGTCTGCTCCTGCTCTGTAGGAATGTGTCTAAGAATTCAACTCAAGCACGTTTAGCATTAACTATAAAATAAACACTAACAATAGCACATAACATAAAATAAATATCTTACCATTTTCGTCAAAGAATAACAGAAATGTATTGTGTTCGAATGCAAATTTCGCATTGTGGTTTTACAAAGGATTTCAAACGAAACATTGCACATGGATTCAGGCTATACCTTGGCAGTATGATAAATAAATAGTGTTGTCAT